ATTTCGAAGGGCATTACGTATATTTCATCGTTGGAAAAGCTGAGAACGATTATGACAAATAAATGATTTTATGAAATTGGAGTGAGGTGGGTATGATTTAATTGCCCTCTCCACTCTTTTTCACCCGAGCCCATTGATTCAGTCACGGGTAACAGACATTATGAGACTTTCCGCATGACGTTACCTCTGAGCTTATCAAGACGAAAACTTATCGCACTTTTGTCTATTTTCTTTCGTTGCATTAGTCCTACACCGTTAATTATCTTCCATTCCTTTCTGGAGGTCACACGCAATGGATACGCTGCAGTTTTCCGTACTCCGCAAAACCCATCTCGACTACAATTCCCGTCCTTTTCGATTGGCTTCACGCGATGGAACCAACTGAAAATCCTTCAGGAACGGCACTGAGTATATATACTTCGAACGCATTGCGGAAAACAAACGCTCACTTATTTATTTACTTACCCGCTTTGATTGATTGTAGAAACCGACAAAGACAACTGCCAGATCACATATTATTCTAGAGAACCATTTAGCATTCACTCAGTGTAGTTTTAATTCTATACCATTATTTTTCTCCTCTCTCCATGGTTGGTCACGACTGGGCCGATCTTCTGAGGTGATGGATTGAAGCTTTCAAGATAAATAATTATACGCAAGCAAGGCGAATTTCCACAAACCCATTGGGGAGCAAGAAAGGTGTTGGATCCAAAAAGATAAGTCCATCTGTTAACGGCTTAACATATAACAGCGGCTATAAAACAAGAATCTTCATGATAGTGGCCTATTGCTTACAACAGCCGCCAAGAACTCAGTCAAGATAATGACGGTTCACTTGCCCTTATTCCACATTAGCACATGAGGCGCGGAGGTAAGCTTTCGAGGGAATACCCCGCATGGAAGCAGGTCTTCAGGAGACGGTTCCACGGATGGTCGTATTACATTATTTGAACTGCTTGCTATGCCTACATTGATTCCAACGTTCCATTTTTATAAATAAATAAATTCTTTATTCTTGTGCAATGCGAGACACGAAAAATAATTAAACACCGCAAAACTTCCCTGGGACCTACATTATGAAACTGAAAAATTGCTCCGCCACCCGAATATGTTGTACATAATGGTCAGACAACGCATCTGATCGGCATCTCGCACGGTCGAGAAATATACAAATTATTTACTATCGCAAATACAGTTAAGAAGGATGATGCACGGAGTGTTAACTACAGAGTCAGGTCTGTCCATGTTGGAATTGTACAGCAGCCTTCTGACTTAGTGCAATGCCATTAGCGCAGACACGTAAGAGCACTGCGCTCCAGTACTGAGTTGTAGACAGTTACACTCGCGACAAAATTCGCTGGTTTTGTGTCCCCCCAGCCAATGGTGACGTGGTTTCGACAAACCTTCACATGTATCTATGATGGCAATTCGGTGCATTACTTGTACCAAATTCCGAGCATCCTTTTGATCATTTTATTTGGGGTAGAGCAGGAACTTTCAGCACCTTTGGACCACATCTTTTGTGGTTGGATGATATGGGTGACCTGAACGTTGAGTTGGCAATCACATTGTGGAGAGATAGGGCATTGCGGATGTAGCGCCACGCTTCCAAGTCGTGAGCTTGGGACCCGTGAGGAGACTGGATTTCGGGAAACCATGGACAAAATTGGTCACACTTCGTTTTGCTTTCTTCGCTGACGCTCATTCCAGGGAATATACGAACGTCGCAAGATGAATCACGAGTATGAGCTGACGAGAAGGCGGTCTCCGCATCGTCACCCGAATGACATGCTATCTGAAGTAACTTTGGTCCACCATAGTGAACTGAGTTTGGGTGGTGGACAATGCGAAATAAATTGCCCGTTTGACCTAGATTCCCGGTAGTTTGTCTTTGAATGAAACACGTTAAAGCAGATTATCTTCATCGAATTCTACGTCTTCCTGACGTTCACAACTTTGAACAAGAACATGGTTCCTTCTTCTGGCGGCGTGGTAGGCAGCCTTCTCGGAGGTACACTGGTATTCATGTCATTCGCTTTGGGGTAGTTGTAGACGTGACCCTATAATTTCGCTTTGGGTCTGTATGCAGCGACGACTGATGCTTATGTTCTCAGGCTTTTGGTAATTAGAGAAAACGAATGCAATGGAGTCTCATGTGACATACACACTATCGGGAAAGATCACTCCCTGAAAGATCGGAGTCGCCGGGATTGTCAGACTTTGGTTGCCCGCCTATTTGCTAGTTCACATGCTTAGGGTAGCTGGCTCTACGCCTTTTGTTACTCTATTATAGGGCGGATGGTAATTTTAGACATCGGAAGTCGAGTTTTGCCGCAGATAGTTTGAATGTGGCCGCAAGATAAGCTGCCGCATACTACACAGTCGCTATCAACCTGTCACATTTCTGTCCCAGTAAGGCAATACACCCAACGAGAGGTTTGATCAAACATTGTGCATAAGAGATTGGAGTCTGGTGTGCAGTGTCGTTCTTTCACTTTCGCTACACTGAAACTTACGCACTAAGGATGAAATTGCTACTGCATGTTATTCCGATGCCAATACTCTTGAAGCACGATTTCGAACCGCAAAGTACATGTATCTGCGGCTGACTGAATCATGTAAACCGTGTTCGCCTTGTTGCGAACCGTGCAGAAGTCAAGCGTAGTTAAAGCGCGATCGCTTTATGGTTATCAGCATTCAGCGCGCTGAGTGTGTCGGGACAGGCACACAATGTCAGTCAATAAGGTTCTATGGATGGGACCACAGTGCAAAAAGCGGACGGAAGTCAACATATCAGCTTTATGATGTAGGCGGCAGGAGCTAGGCTATCGATCGAGTCGGGCTTCGACTTGACGAAAAGTTGAGTATTGACGAGCGTCGTTGAATTCACGTTAGTTTGGGGAGTGGTAGAATGATCGCTTGTAAACAAACTGCAGGTACCAAGTGGAGCGTCGGATTCTTGTCGTACAGAAATCGTTGGACCACACTAAAAGCCCTCTCACAAATGATGGCAAGAAGAATGACATGCACTCTAAAAACGAGATTGATGTGTGAGCGAGTTTCAACGGAATTCCTGCTGTTACAGATGCGACAATGGTGCGCGCTTGACAATCGTGTTAGGGTAGATACCCTGAACATATATATATATATATATATATATATATATATATATAAACACTTGAGCAATGGTACAAATAGCAGAGTGCCACAACGTATGGACAAATACAACCATAATGAAAGAATAGGAGGGATTATAGAAGTGTAGAATAGCAGTTACGGGGCAGTGTCACAATAGATTCGCCATTGCTCATGATCTCTTGACATGTCCGACAGGGTTTCCAGCCGTGTGCTTGTGATCCTTGCGCCCCCAACCAGGGACTCGACAACGCTAGACCGCGTCCAAATGTGATTTCAGCGCCTTCATACTATTGGCCTGACTCCTTCGCTGACCATCTTGTCTTGGATTCCAGCCGACTTCTGTGCGCGCAAAGAGTGTACGATGAGGTAAACGCTCAGTACGCATGTGAAGCACGCGCCCAAGCCACCGAAGCATTTGCAGTGAAAGTATGCGGCTCAGCGGTTGGCAGTATGTCTAAACTGCAAATCCTTCGGTGAACATCCCAATTGTACAAGGACTTCAAGGGAGCGAAAGATATTTCATACTGGGTGACAGACATTTCCAACCTGCACAGGATATTTTGGGCGGTCTGTGAGGAGTTGCAGATTACAGCGATGTCATCTGCATACTCTATATTCCGAAGTCGGTCTCCCGGAAACAGCTCAACGCCGTTGGGTCCGCAGTTCTCCAGGATTCATCTATAGAGGAATTGAACAAGAAGGGTGATGCTGGGCAGCATTGTCTCACGCCAGCGTGATACTAATGGGGGAGTGTTCGCTATAAACACGTACTCGGCCCGAGAGTAGATGGCTTGAAGAATGCTGACGTACTTCGCAGACACTCCCCTTGCCAATAGACAGCTCGGTCAACTGAGTCTAACGCAGCTCGTATGTCTAAGAAGAAAACGATCGTTCGCCGACGCTCGAGTAGTTGGCGGAAAATAAAGATGTGGTCGATACAACTCCAGCGAAAATGGAACCCCGCTTGCTCTTCGCGTAGCAGGATGAGCCTCCTTAAAAGCAGGGCGGCGAGCACTTTAAATACAAATCAGAGGGGACTAATCCCTTTGTGGCTAGCATAGCCTGACCGCGCACCCTTTTTGAAGACGCGTACAATATCTGCTGGATTCCAATCAGACGGGATTGTTTCGGTGGTCAAAACCTCTCGGAGGAATTAACTCGCGAACAAGTGATGGAGTTCGTCTGGGCTTGGGGCTTTGTAAAGCTTTAGGAGGCATAGCTCGTGAGCAACCTCAGCCTCAGATGATGGTAAAGCATCTACACACCAGATTCATGAGTGAGAACACATTGGTGCTACTGGCCAGTTAAACTGCTCTTTAAAATGTTCGGCCCAACGATCAAGTCGGTGTTTTTGACAGTGGACTGACTCGCCGTTGGTGTCGCATAAAACTTCATTTACACTCGGCCTTTTGCCGCTAGTAGAGCAGATTAGGCGGAAAACTCTCGGAAATTCCCCGAACTCGCAGCCTGCTCCATAGAACCTGAATAGCACTGGTGAACCGGAGTTGCATACGTATAAGATCAGTAAAGTGCGTCTGGGCAAATAAAGAGAGAGGAGCGTCGAATCAGTGCGACATAAACAACTGAGGAGTAATTCAAAGTAGAGAGGAAGTCATGATTTCAAGACATAACTAATGTGGAAATTGAGTGGGATGGATGTTTCGTTGCAGCTAGAAACAGCCGGAGAGCTACCATAAATCTAGGAAAATTCTAGACGGCCGTTTCGTTCTATCGAGACTCAACAGTGGCGCGAACCCGCCAGAATGTATCGGACCCAAACCCATGATCATACTCCTACCAACCAGCGACTTATGCCACCGGACCATGGGTGACGGCGGCGCAACGCAATGACTGATTTCTATCTGCGATATAATGCGGCTCAATCTCCAATGCCATGCATGTGAAGAACGTGCAGAGGGGAGGGCTTGCTCCCAGAACTAAGAATAAGCGTAAAAGTTAAACCACAACCGTGCTTTAAAGATTTGTGAACGTGAAAGTGCGAAGTTGAGACAATCATCTTCATAACTATAACCAAATAGAGAACAGGCTGATGAGAAATATGTAGCACGGGGAAATTTTGGGTCCAGCGTGAAAACGTAAACAAATAACGCGAGAAAAAGAGCGGGATGAGTTAAACTGGTTGCGGTAAGCAATCAAATTTCGTATTTTTTATATTCCATCCCGTCTGGTGGCTTCATTTCAACCCTTCCTTTGCCAACTTCATTCCAATTGGTGCTTAGTACAGTTCCCGCAGATTCCGTCTAGAAAAAAAAACAACGTGAGATGGTGAAAGCACTGCCACCAGGCAACATGGACCAAATAATTCCACAAACGGAGACCACGAAATTCAGGATGAATGTAGGTGACCTATGTAAATGCAAGGAATTACAGCACACCCGCAGTTTACCTCATTTGATTATATTCATGGGCATTATAAAGGGAATTTCCTGTTTCGCATTTGGCTGCATTCATTTGCACAGCTCCAAAGCTGGGTAATCGGGAGCTGACTGGACATCTGTAAACAGCCCGTTTGGCAACATCAACTGAAATCAATATATATATATATATATATATATATATATATATATATATATATATATATATATAATAAACGATCTGTGGTACAGATATTGTGCCATCGGAATCATGGCTGAATAGGAAAACAATATGAATAATAAGAAAAGAGCAACAACAAATGCTTTTTTGTCTATTTTACCACTCACAGCTTTTGACATTTTATTCAGTTTGTTCTTTTTTTAGAGCGAGGGAGAAGGGACACCGCAACAAACCGATGCACACGTCCGCCATTGACATCGATCTTGAGCCATGGCTTCCAAGGTCTTCAACTAGCAAGTATCCGCATCTCTCGGACCCCAACCAGGTAGTCGACCACAACCGGCCGAGGCCAACTGTTTCGTCAACTTTTTCATGCGGCTTCTCCATGTTGTAGGCTGTCCACCAGACCGTCTCTTCCATCCCTGTCCAGCAAGTGCAAACAACGCACGACGGGGTAACACTGGACAGGCATGCGCAATACGTGTCCCAACCACCGCAGTTGATGCAGTGAGATGAGCTCCTCGAGGGAGTGGCTTCCACGTCCCAAGACACGCTGTCTAACTTCCACATTGCTTACGAGGTGCTGCCACCACACACGGGCAATGGACCGCAGACAGCGGTGCTTGAAGACGGATAGCCCGCGCAAGTCATGTTATAGCCTGCGCAAATCATCTTAACTGAAACCAGTGCAACACACTACTTACTTGTCTATGCAGTTTACGCTTCTACCGACTGAGGTTCTGATGCCGCCAAGGTCACCCTCTACCCAGAAATTCAGCACATGTATTGCGCGATTACCAGCTCAGAAATAGTTTGATTGTAGTGAAGAGACCTAAACAGGTAGGTCATCTGAGATCCTCAAATGTTCAGCTAGATGGCCTAATTGGCATCATTCTGGCCGCAACGAAAATGACGAGCGTGTACCACAACTGTGCATCGTCTTGTAGACGCATGAGCTTCGGGAAGATGGCACCGGTCTGCACCGTGTTGTCCTCCGATACTAAGTCAACGAATGATGTGGTTAAATCACATCGACATAAGTGTAGGGTGATGCGGTCTCATCTTAGAATGCTTGAACGGGCGTCCACAATGATTAGACCACAGGATGCTATCAATTTTCCGCGGTGTATCAAACGTTTTCATTGATTTCCAATTAAGATGACGCAGCGTTCGGTCAGACCCACCCACTCGGATGCCTTACATAACGAAAGTTCGTATTATGCATCAATGGAATAGACTTGTCGTTCCAGTATAAGTACATTAACCAAAGCAAAGGAGTGGAGTCACAAGCTAAAGATTTTGATAACCTTAATTTTATTGAGTCCAAAAGAATAAGCGACTTCGTTCCATTACTGTTCGAAGGCGGTGGTGATTTCCAGGTTGTTAGTAAGGCTATCCACATCTTCACACTGGCCACAACAGAGTAGGTACAGTTTCAGAAATAAGATAGACATAATATTATTAAACCAGGCGACCCGGTGCCCAAAAGTGCAACGCATTTGCGCGGCTACGAAGCGCCACGCTCATTTACTGCAGTCCATGTGTGTGAAGTCGCCGATCGGCCTGTTCGCTGTCTCGCCCATCTCGTGTGACATGACGTCGGTCAATACATTGTCGATGCGGCGAAGTCATCGCCCTGAGAGCGCTACGCCCTGACAGCGCTACGCCCTATCAATCACCGAGATAACATGGAAAACAGTAGCGATGCTAGAATCGTCAGGTTATTCTGGATCTTAGACTGTCCACCAGGTGGTTCCTTCTCTGCTTCATTTCTCTATCACTGTCACTATTAGTAATGTTATTTGCTTGGTGACGTGAATGAAGACAGTTAGATCTACCACACCTTGGTACGCGGATTGTAGTTTAGAAACTGAGCTGAACACACACATAAAATATGGTCGCTGATTGTACTCTGAACAACGCTTGGGAGGTCGTGGTGAATGAGCTGTATACCAGTCAACCAAACCTGGGACGTCCGAATTGTGGCATCGATTAGCCTGACTGAGAAAGGCAAATTGATACAATGAGATGCTGAGTTTCAGTATTTCAGTAATATTCTGGAACGACGTCTTACTAGGAATCTTATACCTGGCCCGTAGCTATGGGGAGTGGGAATGACCGATAAAATAGAGAAAACCGGGACGACATCTAACGCCCCACTAGTGCTAGCTGCACAGCATGCCGTGCTGGAGCCCCCGTTAGTTTTCCTGATCCAGATGAAGCGAGTCAAAGCAAATGGATTTATTCCACCGTATTTGTATCCGGATCAGAGTTGCCTCATAGGGTTGAACTTTGGTTCGACATGGTTTCATGAAAGGTCGCTTATGCATCACCAATCTGGTGTCGAGGCGGAATGAATTGCTGCAAGCGCTGACTTCAGTAAAGTGTTCGATAAGGTGAGTCATGAAGTCCTCCTACACAAACCGAGGATGCACAGTGTTGGTAGCCCACTGCACCAGTGAATTAGTAACTTACTTGTTTGACGAAAACGGAGGGTACAGGCGGATGAGTATCTAAGGACTGGTACGCTTCAAATAGTGGTTTACAGCAAGGCGCAGTACTTGGACCAATTTTGTTCCTGATTGGCAGCAACGAAGTGACTCAACTTCTTCCGTCATCTTGCGCTTTGTTTGCAAACGACCTGAAGATTTGGAGGGTAATTGACGGTCCAGACGACTAAGACTGCCTATCAATGTGCTCCGCAGAGATCAACCCAGTCAGGTCGCCATTTATGAGCCTGGGGAAGGGTAATGATAGGCGTATGAAAATGCTGGCCGGGCTACCGCTACATCCCAGACCTCATGTGAAGTATCTAGGCATACTCTCACGGTGCGATTTGAAGTCCGTGGACAAGAAGAACAGACTGTACGGCAACGGAGTGCACATACTTTGAGCGCTCAAACGCAACTTCTGCACTTGGTCTGAATAGAGTGGCACCTGGCTCCTCCTTTACATCAGAAGACTATTGTTAGAGTACGGCTTATGCGCATTGTCTGATCACTCATGGAGTAGCATATGGATACCAGATTCATCCCCAATTAACGGGATGTTATATAGTGACTGATGTACACCATATTACAGGGAGATAGCTTATACCCAGAGTCTAAGCTGAGAGCAGTGGCGCAAGAGTGGATCGATCTACAATTGGAGATCCAACTGGAGTACAGAACAAAACGCGAATCTATGTGGGATCAGCAGCAAGTTGAGCCAAGAATTTGAACCGTTTGAGTTGCGTTAATTAACATTAATTAGCATCTCCAATATTGTTGTGTTAGTAGTCGCTTACAACCTATTTATTGTGCCATGCTCCCATACAATAGGAATTCTTTGGTCCGACTGGTCTTGACGTCCACCCACAACCACAACAACCCCCAACAGATTCCTGGCGACGGAAGGCAAACTTAATCAAGAAGTCAACAGTAGCAGCAGCGGCAACAACAACAACAGCAGCAGCAGTTTGAGGCACAGCTGCGAACAATGGAGACCTGCACAAGAAGACTGCCGCCCCAGTCTACATCTCCCCGCAATGCCGAGGAGCCTTCAGTCGATGCGATAGTCAACAGTTCAATGAGTTCGTTTTTGATCCCGCTTCAGGGCTGGTTTTTGATGCATGGTTCTGACGTTATTTTCAGGACGGAACTGGCAAATCTTGATGATGCAACAAAAGTGCGACTGTTGTTGCGTAAACTCGGAACAGATACTTCAATTACATTTTGCCAAAGATCACTCAAGAGTTCAGCTTTGACGAAACAGTTTCCCGACTCTCGGAAATGTTCGATGAGCAAGCAACGCTTGTTAACAACCGGTACAATTGTTTGAAGATGTGCAAAAGGGATAGTGACAGTCCCATTGCCCATACCGCAACAGTAAAGCGAAAAAATCCGATGAAATCACTTACTGAAGATCAATTTGAATGTTTGATTTTGGTGTGCAGCCTGCAATCTCCTAACGATGCCGAGATACAGACCAATATTGGGGCTTTTGGAGCGAGACCCGGAATTCTCAGTGCGAGCTGTCGTTGCAGAGGCCCAGAGTAGCATTAATTTGAAACATGATACAGCTATGATCGAGGACACAAAGGTGCATTCCAATGATTTCGAAATCCGGTCACAAGAAGCTCCCACATGGTAAGCCACCATTAGCTTGTTGGTAATGCCGTGACTGGCATTGGGTTAAATGGTGTCAATTCAACCAGTATACCTGCCAGAAATGCCGTAGACGTAGGCACAAAGAAAGCCATTACAGAGTCAAACCACCTTTCTGGCCATTTTGCAAAGAGAGTGAACGCCAATTTAATTGATGATGATGTCAGAGATAGAAGAAAGTACATCACTGGAAGCACATCAATGGAAGATAGGCGCGCTTGCGGATAGATACCACCTCAGGCATCACGGTCATACTAAAAGGGCTGTGGAGGATTGTCCAGTCGCCCGATATCAAACGTACCTGTAAAGCAGGCGAAGACTGCATGAGGTAAGGAGTTGAGTGCTTGATAAAGTTCAATCTAAGGGTTGCTATGCCAACTTTACCGCATGGGGATCGCTTTTCGTCACGACCATCAGAATTTGAGTCTCCTGGGTCTAGACTGGATTGAGCGTTTCAATCTGCTTGATGTTCCGATAAACCAGATTTGTGCAACTGTACAGATACACAAACCAACAGCCCCCAAAACAGTGGCCATCGAGTGCCTGCGAGAGAGGTATGC